ACGACCACCGGTGGTACGTATTGTCCGAAATGGCAGAACATGTACGACCACCGGTGGTACGCATTGTCGTAAATGTGTTAAGAGTCGAAAAGCAGTATGGGTTATTTATTGTGACGACGGATTTGACTGCGGTCTTTGCTCCCACAGGAGTATAAAACACTCCTACAAAAAGGCACCGCCTCAATGCTCAGCTCAATCACTTCCGTTGTCTGAATACTATAATAAGCAAGCAAAACCATTTAAGTAGAGATAAAAACCAATAAAATGCAACTGCCGGAGGTGCGTGCGTGTCGCGCGCGATCGTCGTCACGATTTTCAAATGCCCTAAACACACGAGCGCATATGCGCACAAGCGATCATGGCAGAGTGAAATTAGATACTTTTTTGAAACGTCTGCAAAAATTACTGATATGATTATCTGCAAAGAGTTTCACTTCAATACCAAATTTATGTTTGACTTGAAAAACACTGTGTGAAAAAAATATTCTAAATCCCGCAAATTTCATCAAAATTAGGAAACAAATTCTTCTTGTCAATGGATTGGTTCGGCACATGACACGATATCCATTCATGCTGTACATATCGTAGGAAAGCACGTTACAGTTGAAGGAGCAGCAAAAAAGTTGTGCCATAGAAATAGAAATCGGTGCACAAGATGATGAACAGTACGAAAATAAATAGTCTAGCATTCTATAAAAACTCTTCTCGTGGCGGGAGCCATTTTGAGATTAACAAAAGACATCAAAGAAGGTAAGCCAGAAGAATAAGAGATTAAGCTAATGCCCAGCAAATAACCAACAAAAACGAATAAGAGAAAACCATTTATGAAGAAAAAACTTACCAGGAGTGCCAGCAAGTTTCAGTGGTGATGAAGTTCCTTTATGCGGTGCAGATATCTCACAGCTCAAGGAACGGAGACAAGCATTTCGTACGCGTTCATATACTCGTTCTTTTAATGGAATCTGGAAGGAATGCTATGAAAGTGAACTGGTAAACCCTAGCTTCATCGGAACTGACTTGCGTGCTGATATAGCTTGTTCTATTCTCGTGATCATTTGACAATAAACATGGCTGATTTATATTACCAAACGATGTGCAGGCATTACATCTGAATGATTTGTTGCTAATTACAAAAGTAAGGATAAAAGATTCGAACTGGTCGAAAACCAACCTCTCTTCAGGATCCACAAGAATCTCCGGCGTGCAATCTCCATAATAAATAGGTCGATCATTGTCATGATGATCAGGAACCTGAGTATAAAGTAATGATAAATGCATAT